CTCGCGACACGAACTCCCACCGAACACGTATCTGCCACATGAAGGCCAGTGCTGCGTTCAAACAAACAAGTCCCCATATTATGTTTTGACTATTTTTGAATAGTCCCCCTGTAAAGGGACAGGCCCGACTTAACATTGGGCGGAATGGGGGGAGGAAGGGGGGGGGTCTGGCTCCACGCCTCTGCTTATAGTGCGACTGTTTGCAACCGGGCGTCCCATGGTGGACACCCCGCCTGCTCGAAACAGGCGCCAAAAACAGCTAAGATCTGCTCCATTGGGGGGGGGGAGGGGGGGGGGGCGAGGGCCCGCGCCGATCGGCAAGACAATATTCTAAAAACGTTCACGTTTCGATCGTCCCGACGTCTGTTCGACCCCCCAAATGGGGGGGGGGAGGGGGGGGGCTCCAGCCGCGCCGACTCTGGGCGCCGCTGGGAGCAGCGGAGGGCCCGCAGCAGCTGGGGGCGGTCGTCGCGGTCCCTGCTGCCCGGGTGGCGGGGATGGCCGCGACGAGCGGGCAGAGGAACAGCAAGCGGCATAAACACACAACGGACAAGAGGACAACAACAACAAAGACATGCAGCCAAAATCATAATCATAACAATCACTGCGTAGACAAGAGAAAATGGATAGAATAATGAATGTATAAGGTACGACATGGGCATAATAATGTTTGGGAGATCCGCGCGGATTTCTTGGATCTGCGCCGAAGCCCGCCTCCTTGGCGCGCGGAGCGCGCCACGGGCGACGCCGGAGGCGCCACAAGGGGGGTAGAGCGCCGATCAAAGAAATCAGCGCGAAACTCCGAAAACTTACGGTTAAGCAGTCGTGTCTCCGGAGAGGATGAGGAAGAAAGACTGGGGGAAGAATTGAGCAGGGGCCGACCGCCCCAACATTCCTGTAGGCCGATCCGGACATGGTATGAGAACGCCAACCAAGTGCTCAGAACAAAAAGCACGGTTCCCAGAACATGAAGAACCGGCGCCTTAAAACAAGACGGCCTCGGCCAGAGAGGCTCGGAGAACATGTTCCGCGCAAGCCGCAGGAGGCTCTCAGGACATCCCCTGGTGGGCCGACAGGCGAGCCGGGACGCCTCGCCTCTGCACGGAGGAGGGAGCGAAGGCGGCACTGGTTCTCCTGGAGGCTCCTCCTCTGCCGCGGAGGGGGGGGAAAGGGAGCGACGAGGGAGGGGGGGGCGGCAGACGCGGGGCCCCTGCTCCAGGGCTGGAGACACGGGGGCGGCGAGGGGGGGCGGAGATGGAGGATGGGGAGGAGGAGCGGGAGCGAGGATGGAGGGAAAGGAGGAGGAGGAGGAGGAGGAGGAAGATAGCGGGAGGAGGACGGGACGGAGGGGGGGGGAGGAGGAGGGAGGGGGAGGAGGAGGGGGAGGAGGAGGAGGAGGAGGAGGAGGAGGAGGAGGAGGAGCAGGAGAAGGAGGAGGACGAGGAGGACGAGGAGGAGAAGGCGGAGGAGGAGGCGGAGGAGGAGGAGGGAGGAGGAGGAGGAGGGGGAGGTAGAGGAGAAGGGGGAGGAAGAGCGAGCGAGGATGGAGGAGGGGGAGGAGGGAGGGGGGAGAGGGGGAGGAGAGGCTCCCCAGCTTGCCAGAGCTTTTTCTTGAAGGATGGGAGGCGAAGCACCCGCCCGCGGTTTTCAAGCCCCCATGCCACCCGGCGGCCCAGTGTTGGCGCCAAGCTCTGAGACAACTGGCCACTGAGGGCGGGCCAGCCAGCTCGGCTGCAGGGAAACCGAACCAGATACACCATCACAGCTGAGTAGTGGTCCCCCTTGTCGACCCTGGCTTCCCATCCCTGCTCCTCCTCCCCTCCCTCCTCCCTTCCCATCCTGACTCACCCGTTCGCCTTCCCTCTCCATCCTCCTTTCATCGTGGCTGCTGGCGCTCCCGCATTGGCGAGATCGTTCCACTGGCTGCCGGCGCTCCCACAACGGTCGGATCCGTTGGCAGCTGCTCGCCATCGCGCGCTGCATGCTATGCACCGCTCCTCCTCCATCCTTTCTCCTCCTCCCTGACCAGATCCCTCCTCCCGCACCCGCCTCATCGCTCCTCCTGAGACGCCTCCTCATCCTCATCCGCTCCCTCATATTTCTCCTCCTCTTCCACTTCTTCTTTCCGCCTCCCTGTACCTCGCTCATCCCTTCTCCTCCTCCTCCTTCTCCTCATCCCCCCCTTTCTCCTCGTCCTCCTCATCACCACCACCATCACCCCCATCATCAACATCACCATGAACAGCATGAACGTCATCATGAGCATGATCGTCATAACCCGAGTCATCAACACCACCATCGTCAACACCAACATCACCAACATCCTCACCACAATGGTCATCACCGCCGTCGTCATCATTAACACCATTATTAGATCAGCATCATCATCACCATCATAAACACCTTCATCCTCAGCATCAGTATCAGCATCATCATGGTCCTCATAATCATAAATGTCATCTTGATCGCCACCACCACCAACATCATCGCCATCACCATCACCGCAGTCGTGCGCAACATCATCACCACCATCATCACGACCACGGATACCATCATCAGCACCATCGTCATCATCGTCCGCATCCTCATTAGCATCACTAGCATCACATTCATCAATATAATCACCAGCATCATCATCAACACCATCATGATCATGAACAGCATCATCATGATCAGCATCAACATCAGTGCCTTCATCACATCATCATCGTCGTCGGCATCATCAGCATCATCAGCATCACCATCCTCATCAGCATCCACGATATCGTCACCATCGTCATCATGGTCTTGTTCAGTAACATCAAAAGCATTATACTAAGAACCATCCTCATCCTCATCTAAAGTACAACCATCATCATCATCATCATCATCATCATCACCATCACCATCACCATCAGCATCATAGCCATCACCATCGTTATCAGGATATTTAGCATCATCAGCAACATCATCATATTCAGTATCATCACCATCATCATCATAATCATCATCATCAGCAGCATCATCATCAGCATCATCACCACCACCACCACCATCATCATCATCAGCATCATCATCATCACCACCACCACCACCACCATCATCATCATCATCATCATCATCATCATCATCATCATCATCATCGTCATCATCGTCAACATCGTCATCCCCCTCGTCGCCACCGCCGACGGCGAAGAACGACGGCGCAGGGCCTGCTCGCGCAGCAGTACGGGCCGATCCCGGCGGGGGCCATAGCAGGGCACCGCTGGGGGCGCGGCCCCGCCTTGCCCTGGCGGCATGAAGCGCGCCGCCGAGGCAGCCTCTTGGCGCGCCGCCGCGGCAGCCTCCCCCCCCCCACCCACCCACCCCACCTCACACCACACAACACCACACCAATGTTCCCCACACGCACACACACACACAGCCTGCTGTTCTGCCTCCTCTTCCTCCTCCTCATCAGCGCTCCTCCTCGCTCATCATCCTCACCCCCCTCGCTCCTCGTTTCTCCTCGCTGCTCCTCGCTCCTCCTCCTCCTTCCTCCTCCTCCTTCTCCTCCTCATCCTCCTCCTCCTCCTCCTCCTCCTCCTCCTCCTCCTCTCTCCTCCTCCCTTCTCCTCCCTTCTCCTCCTCATCCTCCCCTTTCTCGCTCCAACGCGCGGCTCCTCAACCCCTTCTCAGTATGAAAAACAAATCCTCCCTCTCGCACCCCGGGAGACGTGTCGGTAGTGCAGACCAGGTGTCCCGCACGGGAACCCCCCACCACGCATGACCACGACGCTTGAAGTTCAGCACAGTTTCGCGGATGGAGGACGGGCCGTTATAAAAATCTTGGTTCGCGCTTAGCGCCGCGAACATGTGTTCTACAAGTGTGCAATAGCTTCATGGATGGAGGGCGGGTCCTTTTTTGCAAAATGTGGTTGAGAGCGAGTTTGTTATTCGGCGTTTCGACATTGGGCGGCAACGGGGGGAGGGGGGGGTCTGGCTCCAGCCTCTGCTTAGTGCGACTGTGTGCAAAAGTGCGGCCTCTGGGGGAGACCCCACCCGCTCGAAACAGGCGCGAACAAACAGCCAACATCTACTCCATGAGGGGGGGGGGAGGGGGGTTGGGGGCCCGCGCCCATCGGCAAAACAATGAATACAAAGCGATCACGCTCTCGCCTGAGCGCCGCGCACATTCGTTATAACAAGGGCTCCCAACTTCGGCCTTCGCGCTTCGCGCTGCGCGAAGCGCGAAGTGCAAATAACTTTGCGCTCTCGCGCCGCCTCCCAGGGAAGAAGAGGAGGATGAGAAGCAATCCGAGCCGAACAGCGAAGCTCGAAGCGCGAATAACTTCGCGCCCTGGAGGGCGCCCTTGACAAAACGATCACGTTCTCGCCTGAGCGCCGCGCACATCGTTTGAACATGTTGCCGCAGATTTGGGGGTGAAGGGCATGTCCACTCTGCAATGTTGCTCTCGCCGGGGCCCCCAGGGCGGAGGGGGGCCTCCTCCGACGGCGACGCCCATGACGGCGAGGACGACGACAACGACGCCGACGACGCCGACGACGCCGACGACGTCGACGACGACGCCGACGACGCCGACGATAACGACGATAACGACGATAACAACGATAACGACGACGATACCGACGCCGACGCCGATGCCGAGGCTGACGCCGACGACGGCGACGACCAACGAGAACGGCGATCACTGCTCTGACGAGAACGACCAAGGCGGCGACGTCGGGCAAGACGACGACTACCAAGTCGACCAAAACAAAACCAATGGCATGTGACGACCGATACGGCGGCGACAACGACCGAGACGACGACGACCAGGACGGCGACGCTGCCCAAGACGACGGCCAGCATCAGGCCACGGCGCCCGGGCCCGAGAAACGACCATGACGCCCAAGAGGACGACGACGACGACCACGACGACGACGACGACGACGACGACGGCAACGACGATCACCTTGACGACGACGAAGACAACGACGACGATAACGACGACGACGATGACGACGACGACGATGACGAC